CAAGAAACTGTATCGCCAATATAGAACAAGAATTTCTATTATAAATAATGTATAAATGTAATAAGATAACATACGAGCCGCGTCTCGACAAAACCAACATAGTGCGTTTGCGACCAGCATGGATCCAGACCAGCCTGCGAATCCGCGCAGTCTGATCAGGATCCATGCTGTTCGCTTACAAACCCTATAACAAGTAGAGAAACTGATAGCGAACAGCATGGATCCTGATCAGACAGCGCGGCTCATATCATTTCTTATTTAACAGTATAAAAACAATCGTTCAATGATACGATTGTTCTTGCCAGTTGGTCATTCTGTTTCTTTCTGGAGCAATAATTAAGTGTAGCCACTTAGCATTGACAAAGCTTTCTAAGACTGATCACTTAAACAAAAAAGAATGATAAAGTAAAGTATTTTGAGAAAAACATGTCGAAAAACGTTTTCTTCTTCTTATTTTGAATTAACTACCCAAACAATTCCTAATATATGCTGTTGCTTTATTTTTTTATCAAAACACGTAAATGACGTTGATGCTGTATTGAAAAATAACGTGTATTGAAAATGTTAAAGGTCATAAAATCAGGCATCTAAAATGTATTATCAAGTTTCAAGTTTATTGTCAATTCGACATTTACTCAACTACACTATATGGCTAAAACATTTAACATCAATTTAACTTTTAACATTCTAAACTTATAAAATCAAACAAATGCGTTTATAAATATCAATTTTTATTCATTAGAGATAAGCATTTAATTATTCGTTAAGAAGCTGTGAGAAATTCGAAATAATTCTTTCTACATTTAATCGACTCGTCTATAAATTTTTACTTTATTGAAAACCTTAATTTTACTTTCTGTTGAAATTAGCGGCTTATATTTATGAACATTTGGCTCTGTGGTATTTCCTAAGTATTGTATTCTCAAATCCAACATAGCAAAAAAAAAAAAAAAATGGAAAAAATGATTCAGTAACATTTTGATTACATAATTTTCATAATATATTCCTGCTTACAATCACAATAAATCTTTAAAGCAAACCACCTCCAGATTCATGCTAATTTTCATGAAAATTTGAAAATGTATTTAACAGTATAATATTGTAAAGTTACCAAAAGTATGCAATTTACACATTATCAATGGCACTTACAACCTATGTAAATTACTATAAAGAGGTCAAAATATGCAAAAATTGCCCTTACTGCGTTAGTAACGCAGTAGAAATATAGATATACATACTGAAAAATTCGGTCATTAATTGCACATAACATGTAATTTTTTACTACAATTTTGAATCTTTATACCTTTCCTAAAATCTTAGTATATTTTTCTCAGGTTTTGTTTTATCGAAAAATTTACAAATTATGCAAACTAAGTCGACGTCTAAAGAAAGTAAGAGATTTTCTTGAAGCCTCATTGCTTTTGAATATTAAATATTCTTCAAATTCAAAGATGATTGTTTAAATTTGCAATAATAGTTTAATGTCGGCAAAATATTAATTGTATGATTGCAATTTTGAATTAACTGGTCCCGAATTCTGCTTTTAAACAATTTTGATAATTTGCTTTACAGTAATATAGGCGAATACTTGTAAGAATTAAATATGAAGTTAAGAAGCCTAATTTGTGTTTTAAATAAGTAAATACATACTACGGATTCTTGAGTTTTAAGAAGTTTTAACAAAATTTTTATAGCCCCTTTTTACAAATGACTGCTAATGGGAGTCTACCAAGTTCACCATAAACGGCAAATGTTGGAGTTCGTTTTTTAACACCAAAAATGTATTTACATAAACGTAAGTGTAGTTTGTCAACATCTTCTAAGTTGTACAGACCCCATACCTCTGACCCATACAGTAAAATTGGTGCTATTATGAAATCAAATAGTTTTGTTTTAAAGTCTAGGCTAAAATTGGCGTTTGTCGATTAAAGACAGTACATTGTTGTAGGCTCTCATAGCTTGATCGTTAAATGCTTTTACTGCACCAGACAAATTACTCGTATATGTAAATCGGACACCCAAATAAGTAAAGTTATCAACATATTGTATCATAGTTCGGAGACCTTTCTGTTGAAAATGTGTCAGGGTTAAATCGTATACATATACATGCACAGTGCGGTAACTGGAGTGCGGGTATCAGTTACCCGCACTCCAGAGCATGCCCATTGATTGGCTCATTTTTGCTGGGGTTTACATATTGTGACGGCAGAGAAAGGGAAAGCGACAGAAATGTCATATTCAGATGTTCGTTTATTGGTTCATTTTTGCCGGGGTTTCATATTGTGACAACAGGGAACGTGCTTTTATGTTTGACTATGATACAAAAGAGAAAGAACACCAAAACACTCGGCAATCTGATTTATACTCGGGGGCTACGCCCCCTCGTACAAATCAGATAGCCTCGTGTTTCGGTGCTCTTTCTATTACTTAACTTTTTTCTACATTAAAAAAAAAACTCATATCTCCTGACTTGTTTACGCTTTTCGAAAACACATTTCTTTTGTTTCATTGATTTAGACGTTAATTTTGAAACCCCATTTTTTAGAAAAGCTATATGACTGGTTTATTTAAGATTGCAAGCTTATTGGTCTGCAGCGAATAAAACAATATCATCAAGAAACAAAATTAAATACATGAACGTTCTAAGTATCATCAATACAGATAAAAATTGTTCAAAGACAATTGTATAACACTTCTTAAAATATTTGATATTATCTCAATTCTGAAATTTAACAGATTCTTTTAATTTCTGTTGCTTTTTTTGGGTGAAACAATATCAAATAACAGAGACATTCTTTGTTATAGCTCTATTGAAAATCGACCATAAGATTATGGAACCAAAACTTCTGTACTAAATTCTATGAAGATATTTTATAACATATAGTTTTATACCTTTTAACTTACTCCCCGAGTCAATATGAATAACATTTAATGTTTCCTTCAGTTTTTCCGAAAACGTATTTGTAAGAAAGATATTCAGAAGCAACAGAAAAAACTTTCAATGCATTTCTTATGGACCCTTTGAAACGTAGCAAGTTGACACGACAGGAGTTCACGGTATCATCGTGAAAATAAAACCCATCTTGAGCCGAGGAAGATAAATGCAAAATGGATAATTCCAAACGAATGAGCAAACGACGACCTTAGTAGCAATCATGGATAAAAAAATTGAAAAGAACGTTTCTGACATTTTGGTGATTGCAAAAGACTTGAGTACCGCTCAAGCCGATGCTAGTGGGCGTGTGAAATGTTACACTTTTTCATTTTCTACATGTTATACATAGGATGATATACCACATTGTACCACGGTATATCGTAATAAAAAGGATATCAATATTATGTTTAATTTGTATGTTTGCTCTGCCATTTACTGTCAGTTCATATATTTAAGTACTGACAGAGATCAAACGATAGCCGTATCAATACCGGGATACAATTTATTCGAGGCACGCGTCACGTTATCTAGTATTATCTGTAATATCTGGGAGATGAATTTCAGGACATTATTGTTCCTTTTATGCAACTTTAATGATAAAACCAGCAGGTGTCCTTTGAATAAAGCATGCCACTAATGTAAAGAGATTAGATTTCATTCAGCTAGTGGAATCAAATAACTTGTATTGTATTGTTTTTATATTTAACGCTGCATGAATTGTTACTAATGTGCATGAATATTGAATAATTTACTAAAGAGGATTATATCAGCTTCTTTGCGGGTCCATGTTATTTATATCAGATTGCCATTTGAATGCTTTATTGCAAGAGATATTTCCATGTTGTCCCTATTAGACACTTTAATACGTTTTTAATTAAACGTTGGTGTTCAGATGTCAATTTTATTACTTGATAGAACCACTAGATGTTCTAAAAATCTAGATGATTTCTTGATGATAAAGTCGACCAAAAATGAACTAAAATATTAAAATACTTTATTACAACGCTGTTGCAGCATGAAAAAAGTTTATTTCATTGTATTTTAAGACACTGACTGTAAAATAAGAATAAACCTACAATTATGACGATGAAAGAAAACGATATAAAACAATTCAGTTTATAAAATGTAGTTTCTTGATGAAGCTAAAATATAATATGATTAATATTCAAATATGATATAATTACAATCATTTATAGTACTTGACTGTATGTCGCACTTAAACTTCGCTTGTCATTTAGCGACTTTCTAGCTTTACATGTGGAGGAAGACCACATATCCCCTTTCAAGGCACCTGCGTGGAACCACCGATGTTCCATAAGCGAGCTGGATTGCTCTTTCACATTAAATAATTCAAAGGCCACGACGGTATTCGAACCTAGTCAACGACCTTAACCACTCGACTATGGACGCCTTTATTTTGATATAATTAAAATTATAAAGACAATGATTTTCAAAGAGTTTTTAAAACTTACGTATTTGATGCAAAAAGTCATATATCCAGCTTATATACTTGTATCATATTTGTTACAAGAGGATTTAAAAAAACAAAACTTATCGTATATTTTCATAAGGGAAAAGCACAATTTGGAACAATTTTACAATACATTAATAGAAAGTTTTCAGTTTTATAAATTTTAACTGTTGAACGACCAACACCTTCATACAAATACGAGTAACTTGTGAAAATGAAAGAATGTTAATGCTTCAACAAATATGATATAATCTCAAATGAATCTATAATAAAAAAGAATAATCTATAAAAAAGCTAAAAAAAACAAACTATAAAACTTTTAATTTAACATTATTCCATATTGTAAATATCGCTTATGATTATATAAAACACGAATTCACGAATTTCCGTTATAAAAGAAAAAAAAAGCTCAGCCGTTTTAGTATTTCCCTTTTATCTTTCTGACATATCTCACAGACACTTTTAAACAGTTCGAACTATTTACTAAAATCTCTTATTATCATCAATTTGACAAAACATTTCACATGTAATCAATTAAAATTTTAATAAATTACATTAAGCGCAAGTAGTAAAAGACATGTTGAAATAACTTACCAAAGACGGTGATGAAAATAAAGAATTCCACAATTATCTTCCCACTCTGTCCATACGTCATTTCTCTATTATACTCCTGTCTATCCCTCCGTCACATCTGTTGTTACCTCAACACCTCTTATAATGTTTTATTTCGTTATTTTTCCCGAATTATCAGAATATTTTTAGATACATTTCATACTTTTAGAAAACGAGATAGAACGATACGCACGGTATTCATAAATATTGAACACTTCTTATGACTTAAAATTTTTGCACTAGTTAGTTCGTTACAATCATATCAAAATTTCAAATTCCAGGCCATGTTTTAATGTGAAACTAAATTATTCCAAATTAATCTGTTCAAGTTATTATGTTAAAGATATTTGAATGTTCCCTGATCTCTAACATGGACACGCTAGAGTTCTGCTACTAATAAAATCACTGCGTTCCTCGCTACACATTAAGCAATAGCTCTAACACATTTACTTTTAGTCGAATCGGATCACTGGTAACGTGTTGGACAATTTTACACAATTTGTATGAAAGATTATTACGACGTGATACAAATACGATATATTTTGATTTAATGTGCATTTAAAAAGCCAATTCTTAGTTAACAGAATTGAACGTCATGATATTCCGTGACTCAGCATATTAATTAAACGAAGTGTTGCAATCAATTTTTTCTCCTTATGATTATGAGAGAACATAGATTTTTGGGGAGAACTTTTAGCGTATCAGTTAAATCACTATGGCAAATCGTTTCACTGGGAAATATCAAACACGGACTTTTCTTTCAATACTGATAATTACAAACGAACTACATTTCTCAGCGCTATCAGATTTAACGCAGCACTATATTAATACAAATTCTTGACCAATCTATAATATGCGGATATAGAAATGCCAGCTGGTGGCCAGTGTATTTGTATTGATGTAGAAACCACATTTATTTCACTATTCATACACGACATCCAGACAAAAGAATCCATTGTATATATTTGCTTTATAATATAATAAATGTGTCTTACTTTTACATTATTGAGAAGTCAACTTTCAGGTTATTGTTTCATAAAACTGAAATGTTTTATTTATTTACGTAAACTATTCCAGCTGTGTTAATACGAATAACATGGTAAAAGGAAATGGTAACAAACCAAATGAAATCTTTGAAATAAGCTACTTAAAGTATTTAAATCATTATTGAACATGATTAATAAATCATCAAGAATTCATTTCATTCGATTTTTTGTTTCAAGTGTAAGCATGGTTTTAAAAAAAACTGCTACATACCAATGAAATACAGTTTAAAGTGACATTAAGTTCATTTTTTTACTGTCGAGTTGAGTTGAATTAGTTATCTATTTAAAATGGCAATTTTTATGATAAATGACCAAACTTTGATTATACACAATGGTTATGATACGATATAAAAACTACCTAAATTATAAAAAAGACTGTCCGTCTCTTTTTTTAGAATTGAGCGTTACCAGTACATATACAATTTGAACGATATTTTTAGAATTTTGCTTTGGTCACGTGCATTTTCTATCATTTTTTTCATGGTTAATTTCAAAATTGTGTACAATTATGGCAAAATATTTTATTATTTTATTTTTACCTTTTTACTGAACGTTAACACTTGGATTGGCAAAATGGCGATTTAAAAATATTTGACATGTATATAGTGTTACATATATTATAGGGCCTTGCCAACATTTAAAGTTTCTATTAGCTTTAAAATAATCATCTTTTTATTCGAATATGGATATAAAGAAGTATATATATTGTCATTGAAACAAATTTCCCCTTGCAAAACGTTAGTAGGAGTTTAAAACAAAAACATACGTTTCTAAAATCAGACACAAGAATATGTTTTAATTATTTGGATATCCGGCAAACTCTTCTCTATGATTTCCCATGTCAGTATCACAATTTTGCTAGACTGTTTCCTTTCCCCCTATCTCAGTACTCTGAATTTGATTTAAACTGATTTAAAGTATGTAAATAACATAAGATAGCATGTTTATTGAACACATTTTTGTGATGCCAGTTACCTTTTCAATTAATTTGAAACGTGCAATTGCAATTTTTGTCCACGGAACTGCTTTAGATATGTCAGACGCATGATAGTTTACTATTTCTTCTAAGTTGAGAAATGGCCAAGATTAAACTTTGAAATTTAATTGAACAATTTGAATAATTTTGATGTCATTCTCGGAGTGAATGCTCGGAAGTGATGGATAAATGTTTCAAAGATGACACATTATTATGACATGAGAATATCAATTATTTTTCTGTTACATTTTAGGAAAAATAAAGTCTGTTACATGTCACTTTCTTGTTGTGGCGTCTTATTGCTACACCAAATTCGCCCCGTCGCGTGACCCAAAACAGTACGAAAACATGTCGAATTTATTTAGTTTCGTCTTGTTATGCGCGTACCAGGCGACACACAAACGGCTCGTAGAAAATATGAGTTTGGCTTTATTTCATGCGGTGCTAGCTAAGGTTGAAAATCAACGACCACCATAGATCACATCGTCGAATACCACTTACAGCCGGACCATAAACATGTTAATCAATCGTGGGTACCCGACAGTGCACAAGATTGATGACTACACATGACACATACTGTAAATTGATCATTCGTCAAGTCGTACAAAAAAGTCAAATAGAGATAATAAGAATCCCTAAAGAAAGTCCAACACAACAACATAATTGAAAATGTTGCAGGCTCGGTTCGATTGAGCCTGTTCATGGACGGTACTGTAAAGTGCAAACTACCGTCCACCCCCCCCCCCCCTTGCTTAAGCAGAATTCAACATTTAAACATGAAATGGTAAAATTTTGAATTTAGAACATCCGCAGATGTGTTCATACGGCGGTTATCATAAAAAATCTTATTTCAAATTAAATTCCTTGGATGACACTAAATCAGACAGTTTTTAATGTACCAATCTGTTCTGGCGGATCATTGATTTTAATGTGGTATATGTTTTGTTAGTTGGAAAGTAAATACAAGTATTCTTCATTGTTGATGGTTTTTCTCTTATCTTGATTAAATTTGATTTTAAAGTTCAGCATCTTACAATCTTTATGATTTTTTTCCGAATAATTTGGATCATAATATTAATAACACAAGTCATTTTAATACAATAACAGGAATTATAAGATATATTTGATTTTTACAGTATCAGAAATTGACAATGTTAACATAGCAAACTTGATCCTTTACAAAGAGTTTTTTAACCTACTTTTGATGAAGTAGATAGTTCCTCTAACTTTTCTTTTCTCCTTTTTTGTGTCATGTCAACTTAGGTTAATGAACACCGAATGTACGTCTTCAGCGTGGACGAGTTCACATCCGATTTATTCAATTTGTTAACTAAATTGATAATTTGAGCAGCTTCAACTAAAATCCTCCGGGAGTCGTGCCTTCTCTAATTAAGTAACATTAAGTGCGCAAAATAGATGTCATATGTATTCAGTTACTACTGGGAGACATTGGATTATCATAGTATGTCTTATATATTGCCAAAATGAATCAACGCAGCAGTCTGTTTGCACGTCTGTGTTTGTTTAAACACAATCCAAATATGAACAAACCAACGTTCATTCGAAAATGTATAAAAAGCAATATTAATTCGCAACATAGCACACAAATATCAGACAAGAAGAGTGTTTTATAAATGGTATATTTGCATCATAGAAAAATCATGAATAACGTATGCAGAGAATATTACAAGTACGCAAGCTGTATGTGTAGGTAATAAAATCAATCTTTTTAAATTTTTAGTAAAGTACAAATGTAATTGTTTATCTGGAAGACCTAGAAAATCATAACAAACATTTTAAAGACCTGATCTTATTAATATTCTTTTCCCATGCATAACATCTTTAATTGATAATTCATTTCAGGCATTCAAGATATTCCTGCGTTTAAAATAAGAATAAATGTCTGGTGAAGAAAGAATTCATATATTCCGAAAGATACATTTCAACGCTTTGAAAAAAGCAGCTACCCAAGGCATTAATAATACAACGCCATAAAAAAGAATTATTAAAAAATATCTTAATAAAATCTTTATTTTTCTATTTGAAATACTAATAGAGTGCTCCAAAAGGTTAATTGTTTTTATGAAGTGTTTCTCTTAAACTGCTTTTAAATTCACAGGTGGCCTGATATTTTTTCAGGTATCTCTGCCTGCTATCATTCTTGTCCTAATTTGTTTTTGTGCCGTTGTTATATTACAGCCTACTTGTTAAAATGCTTTCAAAGTGTTTAGACCTACTAGATATTCTCTGGTGGGTACAGGTATGTATGATTTTTAAATATAAAATGTTGCTGATATTTTACTTTGATTAAGTAAACACATGTTATCCTTTACACATAAAATGTATGGACCTATCTGGTTTATTAATAGATATCTCTGACCTGGTACTTAATGTCAACACTTGACAGTCTAAATTTGGTTGATGAAAATAACGATGTTATTCATCTCAGACATTCTGCACCAGGTAGTTAAAAGAAAAAGTAATTGGCAGTTTAGTGATAATACCGCCGATAGAAGCAAAAATCTTAACCAGTGCTCAAAATTACCCCCATACCCTGCTGAGTTTACAAGTAAGTCAAATGTTTCTTTCACATACATAAATCTAAATAATGTTTGATGGATACATGTAGCTGGAACAAGCTATTGTAACAATTACAATTAGAGAAGTTAAAAAAAGGTAACGAAATAGAAATGTATAATCATTTTCATTATCTTAAATTGGTCATGTTCCACCCTGTAATTAATTAAAATGAACTATTTAAAATCACTTTGCGACCCATTTTCATGATATTTAAAAAAATATGCTCACACAAAAAGTGGTCTTAAAGATGAAAGACAGACACCAAGTTATGAACTTTCTGCAACAAGCTCCATCATAGTAATAAATCAATACATGGTGCACACTGACAAATGCTTTTTCGTAGTTTGTCCCAAGTACGTGTTGGTGATTTCAACAATGTTTCTTTGTTTAATGTCATCTAAGTAAGAATGGTATTTAGATGACATGAATGGAGCCTGAGTATGCCTATGCATGACAATAGAACTTCATTAAGAATGTTACATATATGACAGAACATGTTAACAAATCCTAATTAGCACCATCGAGATTTCATGAACATTGTTTAATTTTGATCATAAGGCATATTTGGAATGGCCACATTTTTAACGAAAATATGTTCATTATAATGATTTAATAAGGTATTAGTTTTGAAGTATTTATCTTGAATTGTTCTTTCTCGTTAATTGATTCCGTTCTCATTTTGATTGATTTCAAAAAAAATTTGATTTTAAATTAAGCGTGTTTTTCTTCTTCTAAAATCTTAATAGGGAAATAGGCATAAGAGTTTAATAAAATAACTATTTATTATTTACATGACACATTTGGTATTCAAAAATGAAGATGTTTTTATGTCAACCTAATCTTTCTCTTGGTTGTGACAAATCAGCGAGAGATAAACGAATTAAATGTTGACGGTTCACAAATAGGGTTTAATGAATTTGTTAGCTAAATTGCTCACTTGAAAATTGACTGTCCTAGAAAAAATTCTCCTGGATGTTTTTAGGTCATCTCTTTCAGAATAAAAGTCACAATCATTGCTTTAGATTTGTTTAGGACTTGTTACCAAAAACAGGCTTAAAAATTGTTATTTTAACACAGTGCTTTCCCCTAACGGCAAGTATGCAAATTGTCTATTTGATTCACTTT